ACTTTTGCTTGGGTTCAGAACTGCTACTGATGTGAGTCTGTCTGTATGAAATCCAGACATTTGCCTTGGTGTTTTGCACTTCCATGAAGTGCGTTTTTGTGACAAGAACATCTTTGCTGCGGTTCAGAAATATTTGGGGGATGTCAACAGACATGTTGGAAAAAAGACAAGGAGTGACATGCACTTTACAGGCTGCCTTTCTGATCCTAAACCTGTCAAGGCAGGCAAAATTTCTTCCCTTGACTTCATTAGACTGAATGTCAGCCCTGCCGTTCCTTCCAAGTGCCATTGTGGTTTTCTTTTTTTTCTTTCTTTTAAACAGGAGGAACTGAGAAAGAATAAAAAGACCTGTCTTTTATCATCACTGTATTAATGGATAAAAAGCTGCCAGTACATACCATCTAACTAAGACTAAAAAGGCACTTAGTAACAGAATGACCTGATACTGTGGGAGAGCTCTAATAGCTGGTTAGATCAATCAGCATCTCAGCAGAGTCTTGACAAGTTTCTGATTTAATGGGCTGAGCCTGTTTCCAACTGTTACTGGTCTAAAAGATTTTAAGGTTTGACAAGACTAAACCAAATCCTGCCGTTGTAGTGCAGTCCAGGAATTTCTTCATGATTATTGTAAAAGCAGGCCATTTTCAACCATTCTTTTAATTCTTCCCTTGACTTGTTCAAGAAAGCAAAACCAAAGGTGGGAAAGTTATGGAAGGCTGTCCATAGAGGCAAGATAAACTGAAATGAAGCTGCAAAGTGTGAAGTAATACACCAGTGGTCAAGCTTAATGTTATACTTGATTTCTTCTCATTCATCGCTTTTTAAGGTGAACGCGTCTCAGATGTCAAAATGTCAATGTGTGATAACTGTGCGCAGCTAAAAAGCTGATCTTTCAACAGTTAAATCAAACATCATCAAACATGAACATAGTTCTGAAGGAAAGCAGTAATGAAAATCATGATACCGATGGTGAAACCAGGAGAAAAGGACTGGTGTTTGGTAAACAATCTGGAATATTACTTTGACAAGCCAAGACAGTGCAGTAGTGTCAGCTGAGGAATAGATTCATGTCCTCCTGAGATGAATGGTAGAACTCCCACTCAGTTTGGCTTGGTAAGGAAATGAGCCATGCTGGTTTTGCACAAATCTAACCATTCAGTTACTTTTGGTTTAAATTAGAGTAATCTCAGGAGTTACACATAGTGTTTGGTGAGAACTGGATAGTGGTGTTTCACAGAATGAGGGTTGCCCGCTGAGTAACGTGTTCCAGCTGCAGCACTGCTGACCTGCTAGCATATTCCCTGTAAGAGAAGGAGTGAAAAAGTGATACATAATACTTATGCCTATCTGACTTCATCCAAGGATTTTCCTATCTCAGGGGAATACACAGCTTTTCTGAATGACCCTTTATTCTGCTGCCATGTGAGGCTGGATGTGATCCAGAAAATCAACCTGTTTATAGCTGCAGCTTTAATGAAATTAAATACTACCTCTTACCTTCAAGTACCTCACTGTGTTTCTAGTGCAAGTTTTTATTGACTAAGCGTCGTGGGCTTCAGGTATTTAAATAAATATTTTTGTATTGATTAGAATTTCAAAATCAAAATCTTTATAAAAATAAAAACCTTTATCAAATGAAATATTAATGACAAAAGGCTTATGTTTTGAAGTTTAGTTGGTAATGACTGGATTTTGCTTCATATGCAACTCGTCACTGAGAGGATATCTTTGATTCTCTTTACTTCCTGAGCGTTGGGGTTTCTGAGCTGTTCATGGTACAGCATTTTCCTGTCAGGTTTCAGAGCTCTCAGGTAGAGAGCGAAAAGTTTAGGAAAATTGCAGTTGAATGCCGGAGTCTGTTACATCCAAGATGTGTTTCACAGTCCAGCTAGAATGAGGAGATGTTTGTCGTAGCTGCTGACAACTGACAGTGGGCAAGACAGCTCTGCTCCAGCCATGTGGATGGCTTTCCTCCTCACTGATGTGTGTTACGATTGGCTCTGCTGGGGATACTGTCGATAGCAAGGTGAAAAGTACAGTGATGAGAATGACTGTCGCAGGCCTTCTGGTGACTTCACTGCAATATGTTATAGGTGCACTGATGGAAAAAGATGGGAAAGTTTAACTTCTGCTGTGTTCATTTTACTGTTCCCTGCATAAATGGGGAAGTTGAGTATTCGGGACTGTGATAACTTTGGAAGCAAATCAAAAAGTCAATGAGTAGGTTTCTTTGCCCGTCCTCAAAGCAATTGAAATGGCTCCAAGTGCTCATTTTCAGACACTCCCATGGTTGTAGAAGTAAGACTTTGCAATTTCTGCATTGCTAAGAAATTGCTTTTCCTGTTTTGATATAGATGTAGTAATTTGCTACCTGATGATAGATGCAGGGTAGCCAAAATCTAAACTTGTAGGTTCCCTTGTTGCTGCCATTCAGCTCAAAAGAAAGACTTCCCTGGCTTTGCTCATTCAGGCTTGAATCCCAAGCGATGCCGCTGCATAATGACATAGCAAAACTCTTGGAAGTGCGTACTGGCAAAACTGTAATCTTAGGAAAATCAGAAGGGTGTAGGCATGTACCAGAATACCTAACCACAGAGTTTCAAAATTCATGAGTGAAGTTTCCAAAAACAAGACCAAAAAAAAAATATCCAGTTTCCTATAAATCTGGCATAGAAATAATGGGATTATCAGGACAGTGAATGCCCTTTTAAATTGTCTCTGTTGTATTTACAGATTTTTAACTTGAGAAGCCACTTCTTCAACAAACCCTCTACAGGTGCTTTTGTTGAAAAATGAAATTAGGTCATAATCTGCATGTTTTGCCATGCTTGAGCTGTTGAGCCCATAGAGAGGATACGAAGTATCCTTTGTTTCTTATTCACAGTAAATTCATAAGTACTGATGGTCATTTTTAAATTAAGCATGCACCATTTAATTGCTGAACTGTAACCTTAAAATCACAACCAGGTGAAATATTCAGAGTAGGAAATCCAAGAGCACTGAGCTGACAAGATAAAAATATTTGAACTGGCGCTTGAATTGTGCTGCTAAATACGGATGCAGATGGCTCTAATGAATATTACATCTAGGGGGCCTTACTAATTAAGATCCATGTCTCCAATGAAACTTGAAAGATTACTGTTGTGCTTTTTAAAGTTTAACCATATGTCATCTTTGTTAAATGATCTATGTGCAGATTGGCTTCTGTGTTTTCTGCCATGGGTAAAGGAAGATAAGTGGATAAAGACTTGATTATCTTTTCTGTGTGTTGTTCAAGGCTTAAGGGAGAGGGCTTGGCATTCTTCATATGAATCTGGTGTTTATTTCAGGAACTTACTGATTTGTACTTGAATGTTCTGTTTTCAGTCATATGAAGATTTCTATAATTAGCACCATGTAGGTCTGAAATTTTCTGAGGATGTAACTATTTGAACAAAATGTAGGAAAAATCAAAAGCATTGCATTGCATTTTCATCTGCATAGGAAAACTGTTTTCTGTCTGAATTACAGAAATGGGCAGGTTCAAAACCCAAAGAGGAGCATTAAAGAAACGTACTGTAAATATTTACATAACATTTACTGTTATTTAGTTGAGTTGCTAGCCGTGTGTTGTGGCTATGGCTCCTTCTTTGAAGCTCACCCAAAGCCTATGGATCGTATCACTTACATGATACTCGAAGGGAATTGCATGATACATAGCCTTGTTCTTGCCTCCTGGATGGGATGAATAAGCCTCCCTTCCTTCATCCATATATTTCACAGCTTTTACTTGCTACGTTCGTTAAATGGAGCCTAATATCCATGACATTTTCCCCATGACTGGGAAAAAAACCAACGTGAGATCTCTTTTTGTTGTGGTGTCTTTGTGATCGCAAAAAACTGCTCTGTCATGGAGATGGCAGTCCAGAAGGAAAGAAAACGGAAGCAATTGTTTCAGTTGTGGAAAGCAGGTTGCTTCCGGGTTTCTGAACTAATTCCCTAATGCCCCTCTGTGACCCACTGTGAGATGTGGATTTAGGGTCTGGCTATAATGATACCTTTGGGAATCAAACAGCACAGAGAGCTAACCTGAGGCTTCAAAGCAGCTGCAGGGGTTACTGCAACCTTGAGGCTGCAGTAGCTGCCACAAATGGTCTCTGCTGCAGAGCTGCTCTGTCCAGGGAGCAAAGCTCCACTTAGGTTACACTGTGAGCCGTTTTTCTCCTACAGAGTGGTGACAACAAGTTTTAGCCCTAAAATGGGTCCTTATGGCTTCTCAGTTGATTAGGTGTGTATGTCGTGAAGACTATTCATCTGAACTTGTTTTCTTTGAAGGAGAAAATGAACATATTCTAGTAGAATATTAAAAATACAACAACAAATAGGGTATCAAGAAATTGCATTTAATAGCAGACTGAAGACAAAAGGGAGGTTTTTCTGTATTTAAGGTAAAGATCTTTTGATGACGAGAAATACAATGACATATTTTTCTATTTATCTTGAACATGTTGAATCCAGGGGAGGATCTGAGGCTGTCTAAGTCAGCATTTACATGATAGCTCATGATTTTATTTCCAATCACAGACTTACTTTGAGGCCAAGGAGATGGAAATGTGTTCTACTGTCATCTTGCCCACACCTCCTTTTCTGATTTTCCTGTTTCCCTCACACTGCAGCAAGTATAGTAGACTGGAGTCTTATGCTGCTGCAGAGGTTTAGCAGAACTTGTACCCCTGGTGAAGAGATTCTGTTAAAAACCAAGAGGTTTCTGCTATTTTAATAATAATAACGGAAGACTGGATTACAAACCATCCTAAGTATCCCTACAACTGGTGCTATTGTTGTACCTTCTGTTTCTTTACTGCTGATTCAATTTTATTTGAGTTTTATTTAATTCATTATAGCTGCTTTTAAAAGGAAATAACTCTGGAATAGAGAAATGGTTGTGTGACTAGTTAATACGATTTCTTTCTGAGAGAACAAAAGTTCACATGATAAAGAGATTTTCCTTTTCTTTTCAGGTACCATGATCAACAGGATGTTACGAGCAACTTCCTTGGAGCAATGTGGTTGATTTCAATAACTTTTCTATCCATTGGATACGGTGACATGGTACCTAATACATACTGTGGGAAAGGAGTCTGTTTACTCACTGGAATTATGGTGGGTGTTTCTGAATTTATTAATTGGATGTGAGATTGTTTGCTGCAATTAATCCCAAAACTTATAATAGTCATAAGGAAATACTTGTTTGCTGTCTTATAGTTTATATATAGTTACTCATACCATTCCTATGGTATTTCGTTCTGGTAATGGAATGGAGGATTTTCTTCTTCTTTAGATAAAATTTAGCCATGGTGTAATGACATACAGACAAATTCCACCCTGACATAATTCGCAGTTTCAAAATATCAGTAGCATCTTTCATTAAATTTTCAGGTGTCATATCATCTTGATTCACTTTGGACATGTGTAATTGGACCAGTACTAATAATGAATCTATAGTTCCGACTTTGTTTCTTAAATTGTCACAAACAAAGAAATGTGATGGTGACTAGTCTCCTAAAACATTTTGCTTGAGCATAGTATTCTACTTTATTTCTTATAAGTCTAATAACATACTATCTATAGCATTCCATTGCATTAAGTGGATTTATGTAGTGCAATTTTCACTGTAAGCGTTTTTGTTACCATTGATACAACGTAGCAATTGTTAGTCCATGCGTATTCAGATATATTTATTAACTATACTTCATGTCTGGTTTTAATTTTTCTGTATTGCACCGTTTGGTCAAAGTTTGGCAGGGAGTAAGGCAATGTATTGTAATGTCTGGAAAATTTACACATATCTACAGTAAATTAGAAGTAAAAAAGCTCTGGACTCTGCCAATTCATTTGTATCAACTCTTGTATAAATGCCTCTGTGAATGAGAAGGGCAGAATGAGCATCCTATATACTGTATGTAACAGTAGGATACATACTTGTTTCTGAACTTTTACCACTGAACATAAGTAAGGCATCTCCAATATCTGCTGTCTGTTAAAACAAGTATGTGAGGATTAGGGTTGAAAACAAATGGTATCAAATAGTGGCCCCTTTTGAAAAGGTGTTTTGCTAAAGTTTGTTTTTATAAGGGTGTATTTTATGTCCAAAGAGTAAAATAGATCAATGCATTTTTGTAATGTAGAAAATCTTTTTCCAAATGTGCTTTTTTTTTTTTTTTTTTTTTTAAAGCTATCTGACAGGTTTCAGGTCACTGATCTTTATTAAGAAAGACATTTTGCTGCTGGTGACAAATGTGTATCTCCTTAAACACCGAATCTGCAATTTAGTTGGAAGGTACAGGCTGAAAGCAGAGGAATGACTCAGAAGGACTTTTTAGAGGCTGTTGGCTAAGCTCAAATCTGCCATCTTCTGGGGTATTTGCCTTTGCTCCTCTTTCTGAGATGTATTTTGATCCAGAGAGAAAAAAATGTGGTCATAAGTTCATTAGGAGAAAAAGGAGGACAGTCAGTATATATTGCCACGGGGATGTGCAGAATGGGGACAGAGCCCTGTTACAAAGCTTTCCTTCTTCCCAGGCACCGCTTAGAAATAAGAAGCAGATGCAAGATACAGGTATCAGATCACTCTGTTCACTCAGATTGTTCAGCACTTTTCAGCATATCATTATGAAAACCTAACAGTAGCAGAAACCTAGGAGCTATGGAGCCCAGCAGAAGTGCAGTTAGAATAGTAGTATTGATACTAATCACCTGTGGGTTTCACATTGCTATTGCATTTATGCTACTGCAAATGATAGCGGCATCTGGACTGTTATTTTGAATAGCTGTGGGTAGGGTTATGATTCTGTTAAGATGAAAACAAGGTTAAAATAAAATCAGAAAAACAGACTCCAGATTATTGCAAAGATTATTCTATCGCCTGTGAATGAACCGCACAAAAGCTGAAATGATAAGGTATGTTTGTCATTTTGCTTATGGCAGCACCATTTTGTTTCCAATGTAAAATTATTTGTGGTGATTGCTTCCATTGTTTTGGTGAAGAACTAAAGTACTGACGATTACATAGCATTTGCACATATGGCATTTCTTTTTCAGAACTGAAACAAGATTCCTTTTAATACTGGACTTGTAAAATACTCACCTTCTTGTCTTTTTTTTTTATGACTGAAAATTCTGCAACTGCTTTGGAAGCATGAAGGCTCCAATCAGACTCTCATGGTAATAAACACCTTCAGAGACAGAAAGCATTCTTAGTGAAAAAACAAGTCAGGTAGCTAGTGTGTGATGGTAGGTAAAACAGTACTGAAAACCTGACCCCTAATTACATTTTTGAGGACATCCACAATACGGCTCACAAACTGTCTTCTCCAAGGAAAAAAAAAAAAAATAGGGAGCAATGGGAGAAAGTCAGATGTTGAAATTATTCTTTTCTTTTTTCTTTTTTGTATAAAGGATCTGAAAGATACAAAATGTGAAACAGTGAACATAATAATGAGCTATCTTCCAGCATAACCTACAATACCAAAAACTTACAGATCTTGAATATAATTCTTTAAAACCAACTACTCTTCTGAAACTTGTATAGTGACTAATTAATGTTTGTTGTGGAACAGACAGGATCCTAAAAGAGCAGACTTGCCTATCTTTGTTTCAGTGGGAGGGGTTGATAGTCTAATTAAGATATACACACCAGGATAATTGTTGAATGAATTTAAGATTTGGCTTTGCAAAACTGGTGGCCCATAGAGGTCTCCTTTGGTGTCTTAACCCCAGTGAAGAGAGGGCTCAGGTGCCCTGGCTCTGCTTCCACTTCTGCCTCAGAGTGCTGGTGCACCAAGTTGTGCTGGCCGTTGAAACTGCAGGTACTGCTGTCTTGATGCCCTGGTTCAAATGACATCTTTTATATTCTGTAGATTCAGTGTGAGGGAAAACAGGAAAATCTTTACATGTATTCGGATTATATCAAAAGGAAAAGAGCCTTGGGAATTGTTAGGAGTAAGCCAGTAAAGAAGTCTGGTTAGTGTATTAGAAAAATTCAAAGATAAACCAACTATGAAGAAAGAAGGTAAATAGAAAAATACGTACTGTCATGTTTAACAATTTACTTTTTCATCTTGCAAAACATTAAAATATATGAAACTTTAATAAAAATACTGACACAGCTTGATACACAGTCTATGGCATGGATTAATGCAGAGACATTTTACATACTGGCAAGTGAAAGTGAACTGGGTACCTCACTCGAATACTTATCAGTGTTTTTCCAGGTGGACTATAAACAGGAGACAAAATGTGTCTCCTCTGCCCTCTGTATACATTAGGTAGGTCTGCAAGAGCATGATGGATGGATAGAAATATGAGTGTTGTCACTGTTATCAGAATAGGATGTAGAGGAGATGGGGGGACCTACGGCATCTTCACCACAGCATGCAGCTTGTCGGTTTTGTCTGCTCACTGTAGATGACAGGGTTGTCACTGCACACCCAAGTAGGTATCTCAGATCCTGGCTGGCAGGCTGAGCTGAGCTACAGGTGAAGCGTTTAGCTTGTGCTGGTGCTAAGTGCAGCTGCTTTACATAAGCAGCTCTTTCACCTCTTTAATGGCTTTTTGGGGTTAGAGCCTTGGAGTGGTGGGCCAGATTTTCCTTGCGTCATGAGAAGTATAATGAAGTTTGCACACATCAGGGAAAAATTCTTCAGTTTGAGGTACCAGAGCACTGGAACAGGCTGCCCAGAGTTGCTGTGGGGTCTCCTTCTGTGGAAATATTCAGAACCCACCTGGATGCATTCCTGTCCAACCTGCTGTACACTAAGGGTTGGACTAGATGATCTCTGAAGGTTCCCTACTATTCTGTGATTCTGTGAAAAATTTAAAGGGGGAAGGTAGAAATCGGTAGAAGTAAAAGAAGGGGCAAGTGTGTGAGGGTATGGGATGATCGTAGTTATTGACTGTGAGATGGATAATTTTGCATCTGTAAGCTTTTGTATCTACGCAAGATAAAACAATGGGTCTGTCCTTCCGACTCCAAATACAAACATCTGATGCAATGTTTGAGAAGGACTC